GGAGTGGGGCGTGTGTGGCCCCTGTAAGGATCAGAGAGAATTCCAGTGCCTGCACTGCAGGGAGCAAAGAGGGCTACTCCATCCTCAATCCCCCAGGAATGCACTGTGCCATGCTCCACTCCCTCCCGCTGCAACAATGCACTGGCTCACAAAGCTGGCTGGCTACACAAGGGGAATTAAGCTGCACCTCCTCAAGGGGTTTGGTAGCAGGCAGACAGTCTCTGCCCAGCTAGGAGCTCTGGCAGGTATTCTGTGACCCTGAGGCAGAATTGCTTCCTGGTATTTGGGGCAGTGCAGCTCTGCAGCATCATTTACTATAGGCTACACCTACAAGACACAATTAACCCTATGCATGTTGTCCTTATTAGCACCCCTCGTTCACATTGCACAAGTAACGCAATCTTTAGTCACACATTCACTTGTGAAACTAAGGGTTTGCAGGATTGGGCCCCTATGGTTTGATACCGCTCAAAATAACATCAATCAGAAAATTCAACATTGGACCCCACTATCCTTGTTTCCAAAGAATACAGTCTAAGGGCACTCACGGTGTCAGTTTCCCCTTAACTAATGAGGAGTGTTGTGGTAATTGAGCCTACATATTTACCCTAATTGTGAACTCAACTGTAAAAAGTGAGTGAAAGTTCATCAAATGTCACAATAACAATAAATATTGATGGGAAAAGATGCAAAAGGGAGACAAAAAGACTAGTCTAAACAAAAAGGCCTACTTAAGGGTTGTGTTAAGATCATGCCTGAAAACAAGAAAAGCGTGGGACTGAAAATCAATGGACCAAAATTGGTGTGTCAGAAATGAGGCCTAATTGGTGGCCAAAATAATGAGGGGATGGGCTATTCCACTCATCACTCCCTTTTGGGGTCTTTAAAAAGAGACTTTGGGGTGAAAATTAGCAGAGTGGAAATGAACATGACAGTTGCTAGCTGAAAGAAGAGAAAGGGCTGAATTTCAGCATCATGGCTGCCACTCCCACCGTTTCCCGGGACCCTAGACTTCCTTCATCCTAATCCTGCGAGACGTCCTGACCAGAGCAGGACAGAGGGAGGGACTCAGATGACATCATCACCTCCATTGGCTCCAGGTGAATACCAAACACCACCTGGCATGTGAGACTTCCCTCGCTCCCCCTTCCTCCTGCCCCCACGTGTCCTTTTCCTTCCCCCTACCTAAATTCTTCTCTTTCTTATTCCTCTCCTTTTTCCCCATGTGACTGTCCAATAAGAGACTGGCTTAGCCAACCAGGACTGCTTATTTTGCAACACTGCGGGGGAGGGATAGCTCAGTGGTTTGAGCATTGGCCTGCTAAACCCAGGGTTGTGAGTTCAATCCTTGAGGGGGGCCACTTAGGGATCTGGGGCAAAATCAGTACTTGGTCCTGCTAGTGAAGGCAAGGGGGCTGGACTTGATGACCTTTCAAGGTCCCTTCCAGTTCTAGGAGATAGGATATCTCCATTAATTTAATTTAAAAAAAAAAAAAGCCTGTGACCAGAATGGCAGTCAATGCAATGCTCTAGAAAGCCCGATGCTGGTACAAGTTTGCCAGGTTTCAGAGTGGCTGATGAGACTCTGTGCTGTACCTGTGTTCTTCCAGCAGTGAGGTTTCAAGTGAGAGTCCACACCAGAGACAGAGAGCTGCATTTTCTATCTTTGCTGTTCTCTCCTCTCCTCTCTTGTGTGTGTTTGTCTTGTTTTGTCTTCTAGGAAACGAGAACTGACTTCATCAACAGCAGCTGCTCCTGCCTATCTCAATTAACTTCCTCTCTTCTCCCCGAAGAGGACAGTTAATACCATCTTTAACAACACCTTTTAATACCATCTAAAAGGCTGTCAGAGGATGGAGGGATATGCTGATTTCTTGACCCTTCAGATCACATGATGTGACCCTGCCCAAGGGAAGGTATGGGTTAGCAAGACAGACAATAGGCAGTGACACCAGTGCAAAAATCCTTCATGTGGACAAGCCCTTAGAATAAAAATGTCAAAGAAGAGGAAGTATGGGTGGTTCCAAGCCATGATTCATTTCAGTCCATTCCAGCCTGGAGATCTAAGACCATGGCCAATTTGAATTTAAAAAGCAAAGTCATAAGGGATTAGTATGAAACAGCTCCAGTCCTGCATTGATCCATGACTCCATAATCTTTGGTTCTTGAGTCTCTGAACTGGGAAGATTACCCCCATACATCCCTACATTTCAGTCATATCCTTTTTCACAATAAAATGACCAGTACTATATACAGTATGCTAGAACTCTGCAGTCGTCAAAATGTGGCTCTACTATTAGTACATTCTACCATGTTACTATGATTTCCTCTGAATTATGTTTAATCTGATTTATTATGCATGATATCTTTTATATGCTTTTATAACTGTTAAGTTCTCTGGAAAATGTTTAGCTTTTTAACCATCTCCTCACATCTCTCTCTCTCTCTCCTGCCTATTGTTTTGCAATGCAAGGATAGTGAGAATTCCCTTTCCCTGCTTTCTGTCCCAGGCTTCATCACCTCACATTAAACATGCTATATCGATGATATTGCAACACCTCCTGGTCTTTATTTGGGAAGAAACTGATTTGGGAGCATGTACTTTTCTGCAGATGCATCAACTTATATTTTTTCTATATTGTACTGTCTAAGCCTGATCCTGCTATAAACTCAGTGGGAATTTTGCCATGCATTTTCAATGGAAACAACTCCTGTCATATCCACACACAAATAATGTGGGATGTAATGCCAGTGGCAACCTTAACTATGTCCAGATCTCCAGAATATGTAGTACAGTAACAAATCTAGCTCTGCACTATAGAACTTTTATTTGGCAGGATAGTTAAAGAATAGAAACCAACATGTGCCTATTTTGACTCTGCATCTTTTCCATTCTGAAAAGAGCCAATTCATGGACACAGTCCATCACCTGGGCTCATTGAAAGAGTCCATCCATCCCTGTGCCTGAAAACAAAACAATTTCTCTGAAATGAAAAAAGTATTTTTTTATTTTTTAGTACTTGAATGAGTCAAGAAAAGGCCAATAAGGACAAAAATAGTATGCTACTCCATCACATCATGTTTGAAAACAATAAAGCCACAAAGGAAAACAGACAAAACAATCCACAAATTAGATGTCATTGATTACTACCCTTTCTTTTATGGCACAAAAAAAAGAAAATATCCAGTATTCTCTTTCTAACTACAGTAACTAAGTAATTCATCCGGATGCAAAGGGGACAGAAGGGGTTTTCCTATAATTAAGTCAGGCTTTCAAATCCTGTTTTGAAAGCTCTGTTAACATTGCTAATATGTTGTTCAACCTTGATCTCACCAATATCAGGTGCAAGATATGTGGGAAGCCTGAGATAAATGGATAGATTCTGAGATAAATAGTACATATCTATCTGTATAGGCACCTTTGATTGAGTGTGATATGTTGACCAAGGACTGAAATCAGATAACTCAGATCATGAAGAAAGCACATCACACTGGCTCAGTAGAATGCAGAAAAATACCCCAACTCCTGTGCAGCAAGCTAGAACTCCAATCAACTGCAAAGATTTTTTTTCCTTCTTAATTAAGGACCAGATCCTGATCTCAGCGGAGTCAAAGGCAAAGTTCCCACTGACTTCAGGGGAAGCAGATTCAAGCTCTGCAACTGTTTTCTTCTCTTGCTGAAAAAGCATGAATCATTTTCGTTTAGTGACTTTTATGCAGCGCTGTGGGTATCACATTGCATTAAAAGCCCAAGCAGGGAAAATGTACAGCAAACGACTTAAGAAAAACTATAATCTGAAACAGCAAAAAGTATGTTAATTCCCCACCCACCCAACCACCAACACATGCAACTAGCAGTTTCAGTAGGGTACTGCGAGAAAACTAATGATGCATAAATCAGTAATGAAAAAGTGAGAAGGATCGCTTCAGAAATTATATGGCATTGCCATTAGCTCGATCCACACTACTTGCGTTTACATCTTACTATTCTAATTGGAGAAGAACTGAGAACTGTCCACTATACACCACTCTCCAGAGGTAAGCTGCATACACCCTTAACGGGGTTATATTATAATTATCGTATGCCTGAAATCGATCCACAATGAACCCAATTTTTATGCAACTAATTTTTTCAGGAGGTGCAGAGAAAGTTGTACAGCAAACAAATCCCAGCACCGAAAGGGACGGACTCCCAACCCTTCTCCCGACCCCTCAACATAGCAGCATCCCCACACCCAGCGCTGTAAACATCTGAACCTATCACTCTTCTTTTGCAACTGACCGATCCTTGCCTCGCCGCGCAGGATGAATGGACCCAGCTGCCTCTCTGGGAAGTGACCATGGTGGGAGGGGAAGTCAAGCAATGAACCAAAGCAGATTCTCTCCTGTCCCTTTGGAAAGTGAAAGGTTCAGCTCTGGAGCAGCCTCAGAGGCTGCCCAGCTGGCGAATCTCTCCACCACATTGGGAGGAAAACGCCTCCTAGCCCCATGCCCCGAGCAGCGCCAGAGAAGAGCAAGCCCAGGGCGGTGCGGCTCAGACAGGCGCACGGGGGGACGTTTCCAGAGGCTGGTATAAACTGGGACCATTTGAATAAATGAGGTTTTAAGTGGGGCGGGGGGGGGGGTCATGCCTCGCTGACATTGCACAGAGCAAACTCCTTCAGCAGAAGAGAGAGTCTGCCTGGAAATCAGCCCCCAGGGCCAGCTCCTCCCTCTCCCCAGCGCTCACCAACTGAAGGAGATTCAGCAGCTCTTGATTATCCGGTTCTAAAGTCCCGCGAATTGGCTCCATCGCTAGAGGCCGGGACTGAAATGAGGCATGGGCAGCCCTGGGAGATCGCAACCACTGCAGCGCCGCTCAGCTCCCGCTGCCCAGCCGCGCCACCTGGGTCACTCCGGAGAGCCCCCGCGTCTCCCCATGCAACCCCCGTTATTCCTACGGATCGCCAAGAGGGCCCGGGGGGAGAGCCCAGCCGGCGGGGGGCGGGCAGCTCACTGACCTGCTCTGGGAAATGGCCCGAGCTCTCCCAGTCTGGCTTCGGCGAGTCGGAGCGGAGCGGCTGCCCCCGGCAGTCTTACTCCACAGAGCCGCGCGCCAGCCAGGGGCAGCGCGGCTCCCTGTCCTGGGCGGGGCCGGGCGGCAGGCAGCCAATCAGCGGGCCCGCCACCTTCCTGCTGCAGCTGTAATGACAGCGGTTCTCCACAGCCAGGCTGCTGCACGGTGCCTAGGGACTGGGTGTGTGCATCCCTCCCGCTCCACCCCAGCGCCCCTGTTCCCTGTGCATCCCTCACGCTCCACCCCAGCGCCCCTGTTCCCTGTGCATCCCGCATCCTCCATCCACACCACCCGTTTTGTGTGTGAATCTCTCACACTCCATCCCCACCACTCCTGTTCCCCCTGAATCCTTCCCCCCCCCCCCCCCCCCCCCCCCCCCCCTTTTGTGTGAATCCCTACCCCCCCACCCCACCACCCCGTTCTCCCTGAATCCCTCACCCAACATCCCCACCACTCCTGTTCTGTGTGTGAATCCCTCACCCTTCACCCCCACTGCTCCTGTTCATTGTGAATCCCTCCCCCTCTACTCCCACTTCCCCTATTCCCTGTGAATCCTTCCACCCACGCCTCCCTTCCCACCCCCCTCTGTGTGTGTGAATCCATCCACCACTACCCCCAACCCCATCCACTCTGTGTGTGTTGCTGCTTCTTGTAGGAGATAGTTCTGGAACCCACAAAAGGAGAGATGAATAAGGGGGATCATGACTGGTATGGAGAAAATAAACAAGGAAGTGTTATTTACCCCTTCTCATAACACAAGAACTAGGGGTCACCGAATAAAATTAATAGGCAGAAGATTTAAAACAAACAAAAGGAAGTATTTCTTCACACAACACACAGTCAACCTGTGGAACTCTTTGCCAGAGGATGTTGTGAAGGCCAAGACTATAACAGGATTCAAAAAAGAACTAGATACGTTCATGGAGGATAGGTGCATCAATGGATAGGCAGGGATGGTGTCCCTAGCCTCTGTCTGCCAGAAGCTGGGAATAGGCAACAGGGGATGAATCACTTGATGATTACCTGTTCTGTTCATTCCTTCTGGGGCACCTGGCATTGGCCACAGTCAGAAGACAGTATACTGGGCTGGATGGACCTTTGGTCTGACCCAGTATGGTCATTTTTATGTTCTTAATCCTGCCACCCACCCCTCCAGCCCCACCACCCTTCTGTGTGTGTGAATCCTTCCTCCCACCCACCCCCCCATCCCCACCACCCCACTGTGTGTGTGTGAATCCTTCCCCCACTCCTCCCACCCCACCGCCCCTCTGTGTGTGTGAATCCTTCCACACATCCTCCATCCCCACCACCCCATTCTGTGTGAATCCTTCCCCAATCCCTCCATCCTCACTGTCCTTTGTGCATGAGAGTATCCCTCTGTACTTACACTCGCTCCATCCCCCACAACTCCTGCTTTCTCTCACTGCATTTCTCTGCCCTCTACTACATTGCTATATTGTCCCTGCTCTGTATGCAATTCCTTGTCCCCCTTATATCCTTCCTAGTGTTTCTGCTCCAAAGTGTGTGTGAAGGCTCCTTCCCATCTGTCTACACCAAATCTCTCCCATTTGTATATGCATGTGAAAAAACCCCTCCCACACCTTAAGACCTGTGCTTTGGAACACCCTTTCTACATCTTTTTATTCCCCATTCTCCTGCTGGGTTTTTTGTTCTATGTTTTTGATAGAGAATCCCTCTTTCCCCATGGTCTCCTCTCTCCTTCAGTGTGTGTTGGCTCTGTGTGTATATGACTCTATCTCTCTTCCAATGCTCACTCTTTCTTCCCCTTTGCCAGCCCAGTGTGGGTGAGCCCGAATCCCATTCCCACCCTCCCTCCTTCTCCACAGGTCCTAGTCCATGGAGGTTGAATTGCTGGTCATGAGAAGTTTAGCTCTTCATTGTGATGGCTAGTAGGAGGGAGGAAGGAATTTCCTCCTTCAGGAAACAGGTATCATAGAATATCAGGGTTGGAAGGGACCTCAGGAGGTCATCTAGTCCAACCCCCTGCTTAAGGCAGGACCAATCCCCAGACAGATTTTTACCCTAGTTCCCTAAATGGCCCCCCAAGGATTGAACTCACAACCCTGGATTTAGCAGGCCAATGGTCAAATCACTGAGCTATCCGTAACCTTTTTAAGCCTTCCCTCATACCTTTGTTTGATATGTGTACACCCCCTACGGCCTGCTTTCTATCAGCACTTCCCATTGCTACTGCTCCACATTTGAAGGTGGGAAAACAGCTTAATTCTTGCAACAATGAGTTCTAGAGTTCTAGTTCTAGTCCCGCTGCCACCACTCATTCACTGGGTGAGTCACTTTCTCACTTAAGCTGTTTAGTGCCTCATTTTCTCCACCTGTAAAACAAAGATAATGATAATGACCTAGGGTGCCTTTCAGAGGCATTGTAAAGATCAACTGATTAATGTGTTTAATGGAATGTTTGGTCCTCAAATGGAAGGTTCTATCAAGTGTTATTATCTCCAGTTTGGGGAGGAGGGACAGGTTCTTGTGTCCCCTGGTCTGCTCCTGTCCTTAGAGTAGTCCTTAAATACTCTGTCTACCCTGAATGCAAGCCCAGGAATTAGAGCTCTCCCTTTTGTCTCATCGCTGGTGGACTCTAGCTCACTTTTTGGATGAGCAGTTTGATGAATGGTTGGCACAGAACCCTTGCAGACACAATTAGATCTCTTGCTAGACAGGGAAGTCCTTGTTCTCTCCCCCCTATCTTCTGCCACAGACTTTGCAGGTTCACTGAACACACAAAGTGCTACATGGGGTTGTGAGAGCAGCAGCCACTCAGCACATCATCTCAGTATGTCTTTTAGGCTCTTGTGAATTTCAGGCAGCTCTCTATTGATCAGCAGAATTTCCAGACCATTTGAGGGTCATTTGGGAGCTACACATTCTGGCCACAGTTCAGTAAAGCACTTAAGCACATGACTACTCCCACTGAAGTCAATGAAAAGACCCACGGAAGGAGGCTGAGTGACTTCCAAGACAGTATGTGTGGAAGGAAGAACAGTAAATCTATGCTCCCTTTCCCTTGTTTCTGGCCAACCCCTGTCTGTTGCAGGAGCCAAGGCAGAGGGCAAAGGTGGCACCAGCACTACTGAGAGAAACTTTTAAGTTCCAGTAGCTTGTAAGGGCCCAAAGGGAACATAAGAATGGCCATACTGGGTCAGACCAAAGGTCCATCTAACCCAGTATCCTGCCTTCCGACAGTGGCCACTGCCAGGTGCCCCAGAGGGAATGAACAGAACAGGTAATCATCAAGTGATCCATCCCCTGTTGCCCATTCCCAGCTTCTGGCAAACAGAGGCTAGGGACACCAAAGGGGTTGGAAGATGGTCAGGGCTCTGAAGTGAGAGTCAGGAAACTCGGATACAATTCCTGGCTCAGACTCAGACTTCCTGTGTGATCTTGGGCAAGTCACTTAATCTACCCTGTCACCCAGTTCTTCATCTGTAAAATGGAGCTAATTGTTCCCTCCTCACCGTTGGGGGGGGGCGTGTTGTGGGATAAAATACATTAGTGATTGTGATACACTCAGATGCTACTGTAAGGAGGGCCATATGAATTCCCAGATGGGTAGATTAAACTAGCCAGGGATCACTGGAGAAAGAATACTGTGGCCATTTTCTCTACCATCCCCAGGCTTCCCCTTATCCTGGGAGTCTGGAAGGAGGTGATGTAGAGTTGACTATGCTGGCTGTACACCAAAATATTAGTTGCGGCATGCTGGGAAATCTTTGGCTGCCAGTTTAGGGTAGCTTTATAGTTCTATTGCACCAGTGGGGCCAGGCTGTGGCTCACTGAAGGGAAGAGTTAAAAATATATCAGTCCCAGTAGCAAGTGAAAGGTTGAAAGTGTCCTTGGGAAATCCATGAGATACCACCTCAGAGTCTTCTGGAGGATGCTGAGCCTTTTGAGGATACCGTAGGTCACATTTTGATCTCAGTTACACTGGAGTAAATCTAGAGCAATTCCACTAAAGGCAATTGAATTATCGTATTTCCAGGAGTATAACTGAGACCTAAACAAGGTCCTGTAAGTCCATGCAGACAATAACATGTGCATGAAGCCTGCAAATAACATATCTGCTGGGTCCAAATCCTGGGAAAACACTAGCTGGATGGGACACATTTCTTTCTCTGGATACTGTAGGTGAAAAGCTGTAGTCGGTCTCTGGAGAACTCATCTCATCAGCTTTGTTTTTGTTGGCCAAATGGGTTATAAATCAGTGATGAACAGTGTGAAGAGCAGATGGGTCGTTTAATGCATTCGCTGCAGCTCAGTCCTGTGACTGGCTGAAGCCCATGTGCAGTTTTGAGGAGAATGTTAGAAAAGATTGTTCATCATTTTTAATTGCTCTATGGGAGCTGTGCAGTTCATAATGTGCCATTAGGTACTTCTTCAACATATCGCTTTTCATGATGCAGTTTACATAATTTCATAACAGCAAAGGGGCAGCTTGGTATATCATGATATAAAGCCAGCTTTGGAGGAATGAGCAGCAGAAATAAATACAATATAAATCCTAGAGGTAAAATTATTCCCAAAGAATGGACCAAATCCATCCCTGGTAGAGCCCCATTGACATCAATGGAGGTCATGATGGATGAATCAAGAGGGATGAATTTGGTCCCAAATTGGCAAAATCTCCTTCTAGGTTTCACCCTGGGAAAAAGTAATTTCTGCTTTTTTTTTTTATTTAGATGTTTGGACATCACGGCGGTGGGCATGGTATAAGAACCCGAGTAGACTATTTGTTTTATACTATCAAATCCCAAAAGTGGAATTACTTAATGTTGGCTCAGCTTAACTTGCAAACGGTGCTGAAAGGGACACATGGCTAAGGAGTTACTATGGCAAATTTGCTGTGGCAAATAAAGCACAAATCAAGTTGAAAATATACTGTTAGCAATGATCAGTTCCCAGTGGAGGCAAGGAACCCCGCTGAAGCCATTTAAACAAAAATACAGAGAATTTGCTATATTCTTTCTT